AAAAAAAAAAAAAGCATTCCACTCATTATTTTAATTAAAAGTTAAAATATTTTATAATTGGTTAATACTTTTTTTAAATATTATTTTAGTCATCATACTAAATTATTATTTTTTTTTTGAAAGATTAGCTGTGTGAAATGATTAATATCAAATACTTTTGAAAAACATATAATTTATTTAAAACGGTTATATTTTAGCATTTTGGAACTTATTCTAAATAACTCTAATTATTAAATTTAAACGTGTCATATTTTAAATGGTTTAAAAATAATTATCTTTATATATAAATTTGAATTTAATAGCGAAGCTATAATTTTTAAAAAAATTTTATATCGTTAATTTTAAAGAAAACTCCCAAAAAAACCAAATTTATAATTGGAAAGTATATAATCAAATAAAAAGATGATACGTAATTTTGTTTTAATATTACTTAAATATTTTCAAATATATTTTTAAATAAGCTAAACACCCCTAAATTATTATTATTATTTTTTAAATATGCTCGTAGAAAAATATTTTTTTAATATATATAAGAGTTATTTTAAATCTACTACAAATTCTTAAACTCAAAAATAAAAAAATTAATTACAGATAAATACAAATGTTGGCTAAGGATAAAGTTGCGATATTTTGTTCGGCAAATGATAGTCTCGTTTGAAAAATTGTTAAATGGATGTGATGTCCAATTCCTACAAAATAAGCATCATTCTCATACATTTACAACCCAACAAATATACCCAACTACTTTTGTGTTACATATTTATTATTTTTTAAAGATAAACTTTATATGAAAATGAAGTGTGGGCCTCAACCGTCTCATACCTACTTTTTTATAACGGTGACATTTGACTTTTCATTCGCTAACCCTTTTTATTTGACCTCTCCGTAGCAAACATGTGTTTTAAAATCTTGAAGAGAAACTCGAAAGGGAAAACCCAAAAAATACAATATCTTCTAGTTGTAGTTTGAGTTGTTATAGTTGGTCGATTGTGAGAACAAAGACGCTCGTCCCAAAGGGAGTGGATTGAAGGTCCCACATCAATTGGAGAAGAAAACGAGTGATACCGAGGACACTGATTTCAAAAGAGCGCCAATTATGAAATCGGAGGAGAGGACCTTAGAGTTATTATTAAATATTAATATTAATATAATATAGTTTATTTTGGAATAATTATATTTTTATTACTTTTAATTATTGTTTAACCGTTTTAACCTCTTTTAAAAAAAATAAAAATAACTAATGGATCCATTTAGTATACAAATTTGAATAAAAAAAAACATATTCTAAAAAAATGCAATTTAATTTTAGAAATATAAAATAATAGAAAATATGATTCTCATCCTTTCCAGTCTGCTCTAAACAATAAATACATAAATTAATTTATTTTACTATAATTTTTCCGAAAATTTTAAAGTGAATTATAAGTTTTTTTTTTGTGTGAGTTCTAAATTGGAATAATTCTTTACTCTTAAAAATCAGAGAAAATAGAAGGGTTAAAATATATTTCCTCTCAATATTTTGAAAATTTTAAAATTCATGTTTATATAAGAAAATTAATAAATACCATACGATTTTTTTTTTTGTTAAATTACTAAAACATATGATACTGTATAAACTTTTTAACATACAACATACAACGTATTCATAAATTAATAAATAATACCACGTTTAAATTAAAATAGAACATATACTACAAATTTTGACTAGTTTAAATTAAATTAGAATCTAATTTTTTTTTTTTTTTTAAATTATACCTGGATCGAAAGACAATATAATTATTTGATCAAATTTTATAAAAAGAGAGGTATATTGATTCAATAATATATATAACAAAAAAAAAATCTAAATATTTTGACTGGAGAAAAATATGGATAATCAATTTCTAATTAAATCTTAATTAATTAGATATAATTATTGTATTAATCTTGACTTGAAAAGTATATATATTTCAATCTTAGTTTTAATTTGAAAGAGTATACATATTTCGTTTTGATAGTATATATGTTTTAATCTTATTCTTGATTAGAGTATATATATTTCCTTAGTTTTGATTGAAAGGAGTAGTCAATCTAAATTAAACTCTAAAACATATATATCTATTTCAATCTAAATAGATTAAGCTAATATATATATTTCAATTTAAATTAAGATTTTATAAGCAGTGACCAAACTTGCCAAACAAAACAAAATTAAAAAAACCTCGCCAATTATATAAGTAAAAAAAAATTGAGAACCAAAATCTTGAATCATAAAGTAACTTCAAAAGCCAAAATTCATCCCAACTCAAAAAAAAAGAATGATTAGGGCTGGAAAATGTGTCGCTACTCCTCCTCCTTCTCCTCCTCTGCTTTTGACATGACTGATAGACGGCTAGGTCTAGGTTGAAATGCTGATCGCTGCCGCACCTGATGCGAAGAAGGTCTAACCAAAGCCGCTAAAGCTCTTTTCACGAGATCAGCACCTTCTACGCCTCCAATTCTCACAATCGAATTCGCCATTGCCGATCTACGGAAATTCAACGATCCGTTCGGGAACTCGCCGCTGCGATTCACGACATTAACAGACTGCCTCCAATTCTTCTTGTGCAGCGAACACCTGAAAGAGCCTGGATGAGTAAACGGAGAACACATGCACCATTTCTTCTTATTCCACAACACCGCATTCGCATTTCTCTCGCGATTCTTCTGAACCGAAATCGAACGGCCGGGAGATGCCGGCCTTCCATCAATCTGAAATCTCACAGACGCCTCTGACGACGAACACGCATATTTTCCGCACATTGCCTCGTGCTTCGTAGACAACGACCGAGACAAGAAAGCCGTACTCGACGAAGCAAATGGCGACGGAGATGAAATTTGACGAGATTTGGATCCGATCAACGAAGCCATGGTGTTGCAGGCAGTGGAGTGATGGAGAAGAGGGAAAGACGTTAGAGGCGAAGGGTTTGGTATTTCTGGAAGCGCCACAGTTTTCAGAGTGCGGCAAACTGGCAAAGCGATTAAATTGAGTCAGATGAAAATTATTTTCTGTTCAAGTCCAATCGCGTAGCAGTTCACATATATATATATATATATACACACACACACTTTTTAACCACTTTATTTCTTTTTTTAATTACGCTTTTTTATCGCTTTTGAAAATATCCGATTTCTCCTACATATAGGGGAGTAGTTACAAATTTTGAAGTTTTAAAATGAATAAAAATACTCATATTTTATAAGTATTTTTAAAATATAGGAGACTAATTTAAATTTAAATTTAAATAAATACTTGAATAACCTACCAATTTATTTAAAATAAAAGTTAAAAATTAGTTTGTATTATGAAATTGATAATATATTTTATATTATTTTCAGAAATTATTCCAAATATATTTTCTCTCATTGATTTATTATTTATAAAATTTAGTTGGGAGTTTATATCTCTTTCTCCAAAAATCTCTCTAATTCCTATAAACTATAAGTTTTCTAACACAATTTAAATTAATAAAAAATTAAATGCATCAAAATATAAAATCCTCTTAGAGTTAAATACATAAACTAAATGAAATTGAGGGACTGATTGACTTTAGTGGTTAATTACCCAACCGCATACCTAGAGCACACATAATTTTCTCACTAAAACTATTTTCCACAATCACTCCTCGTAGTGTCTGGTTATCCATTTACACAGCCCTTACCACATGAAAATCACACCGCCCTTACACATTGAAAATCAACATCCACCATTACGTCTTAAAATGAATATCAACCTTCCTTTTCTACAATTAGCTCGTAGAGTGACCATGTTACTTGTTTCACACAGCGTCTAACTTTAATTGATCCACACAGCGTCTAACTTTAATTGATCCACACAGCGTAACCTTATTTTGATAACCATTTTCTACAATTAGCCCCATCGTGAGTGGATGGATGGATTACCTAAACACATCGTAACCCTTGCCACATGAAAATCAACATTCCTTTTATCCCTTAAAATGATTATAAGGCTATTCTATTCACACTTCCCATATTATTCAAGGGCCCCGAAGGGCGCGAAAGCAACCAAACAGAGAACAAAAAGCTTGCAGGGCGATCAGGAACAGAACCCAAGCGACCGCCATTAGACCAAGCAAAGGCCAAGAACTGTAAATATATGCCTCCACAAATCTTCCCATTTTCACTCTCCACAATCCATCGTAGTACTCATTCACCTCTTCGATCACCTTGTCCAACTCCAAAACTCTGCTCAATCTCATCGATTTGCTCATTCCATTCCACATCGCAGCGCCCTCTTCGTCGCTCTTCAGATGATTCAGAATCACTCCTCCTTCTCTCAGCAATCTCACGTCTTCGTCGGAATCCACGATTCCGTTCATCAATTCCGTGTATCTTGTTAAAACCAGCGGCCCTAATCCGCTCGACGCTTCGTATGCTACTAAGTTTCTCAGCGTTGCTTGTGTGTTCACGTCTAGCCTCACCGTTGGAAGGTAGAGTGTTCCGGTATTTCTGTCGAAGGTAATCGTTGAGATTCCGCCATGGGAAGGTGAGAAGCGGATTCCGGCTTTGAAGAGCTCTGAAACGGAAGGGATTGTTATTTCCTCCGTTAATGGCGGTCTGTTTGCGTTCGGATTTGAATCAGGGTTTTGAGGTTCTGTTTCTTGCTCTCTGAAGAATAGAATCTCAGCAGGCTGTTTTAAGATCGCGAATGGAGGGATCGAGGAGAGGATCGCCCATGGCAGCCGCGCTATCGTTTTCACATGTTGAGATTGCATCGCTCGCTTTGTGAAACGAATTAGGTTTTCGATTGATCGCAAGAGACATTGCTTGGATCTGTGTGCGACTTGTTGTCTGTAACTCAAAATTTGAGGAGATTGTTCGATCTCGTTAGGGTTTTCGGTAATTTCTGATGGTTCTTTCAATTTGGGAGTGATCATTTGGTATAAAAAGTCCAGCAAATGAGCGCAATCTGAAATTTGAATCTCTGGAATTTCATCCGTGGTGTTGAATGGAGAAAGCTCTGCGAACAATCCGATCAACATGGAGAGCAAAGTCTCGTCGGATTGTTCAGTGGATTCGAATTGGAATTCCATCATCTTCCTCAATACGAACAATGGAATCTGATTTTCGAGCATGATTATATCTCTGAGAACGGCGTTGTGCGCTGGCTTCGTCCCAGCGTAATCCATCAAATGCGACATTCTCGAAGAAACTCGCCGGAGAATCTTCAATTGTTGGGCGTAGACATTGAGAAACTCGAGCAAGAAACAGGCGTCAATGGCCATCATCCAGGCTAAAGTTTCGCTATTAAGATCCAAGTAACCGTGGTAATACGCTCGAATCTTATGCTCGAGCTTCGCCAATTGTTCAACGATATCATCAAATCGGAGATCTCTCGGGCTGAATTTCTTAGCCCTTTTTGCAGCGGAGAGCTTGATTCTCTCCATCTCATGGAGCTCTGGGCACCAACAATGGTAAGGACCCAACGCAACCAATTGCGGCGTGTAGGAATCTGGATCGGATGCCATTAGAGATTTAGGGACCTTGAAGATCGACACGGGAATCCCATCGTCGTCATCGAGTTCTTCTTCGAGGGTCCGACGAATTTGAATGACCCAGTTGCATTCGTCGAAGGTGGAAGAGTAAGAATTGGAGGCCATTGTCGAGTGCAGAGGAAGCTTTGTTCCATGATGGGTGAAGAAGGTTTGGTTTCAGTGATGGATTTGCGTTCTTTGTCTTTTGGCATTAATGTGGAAGGGGAGTTTGCAGAAGCACAGTTAATTAGAGCAAGATCAGAAACAGATTGAACAGCACAATGAAGGATGAGATTACGTTTATGAGGATGTATGTTTCTTATTTATTAAGCATGAAGAACTACAAATTATGATGACACATCGATTACGGAGGTGAATGAACATTATTTACAAGGATGTGAAAATCTCTCTTTAGCATACACATTTTCAAAATATTGAAGGGAAACATCAATGAGAAGAGTGTGGAAACCTCTTCAAAGCAAGACGCGTTTTAAAAACCTTGTAGGAAGTGCTGGCGAGGACACTAAGCCCCGAAGGGTGATGGACACCTGGTGATGTACCAACGAGGACGCTAAGCCCTGAAGGGAGCTGGACACCAGGCGGTGTATCAACGAGGATACTGATCCCTGAAGGGGCTGGATTGACTACATTGATTGGAGAGACGAATGAGTATTTGCGAGGACGCCGGACTTGGAGGGGTAGATTGTGATATCTCTGGAGAGGGGAACGAAGTAGGACGCTGGGCCTCAAAGGGGGTTGGATCGACCCCATTGATTGGAGAGAGGAACGAATGCTTGCGAGGACGCTGACCCCGAAGTGGTGGATTGTGAGATCTCACATCAATTGAAGAGGGAATGAAGCAGGACGCTAGGCCTTGAAGGGGGTTGGATTGACCACATCGATTGGAGAGAGGATTAAGTGCCCGCGAGGATATTGGCCCCAAAAGAGGGGATTGTAAGATCTCTTGGAGAGGAAGAGGGGATTGTAAGATCTCTTGGAGAGGGGAACAAAGCATGAAGTTGGACTCTGAAGGGGGTGGATTGACCACATCGATTGGAGATAGCAAGGACATTGTGTCTAAAAGGGGTGCATTGGGAGATTCCACTTCGATTGGAAAGGTAAATGAAACATTCTTGTGTGAAAAACTTTCTCACTCGTTTTAAAAATCTTGGGAGAAGTCGAAACACGAAAGCCCAAGACCACTGTAAACATTTCATTAAAATTTCAGTTTAAAATCGACAATGACACACTCATTAATCAGGTCAGATTACAATTTCAGGTGAAGTTTTGAATGTTTGTAATGGGTCACTTGGGGTAAATGGTGGTTGCAGTAATTCATTGAGAATGAGCATGCACATAAAGAGTTGCGAAAAGTTGTTGAATAGACTACTTGTCTTGTTGAGTAGATATCTGATGTAAGTAGTTGTCCTTCCATCTATGAAAATCCCAGTGGAATCCTAAAGAAAAGTGAACTGAGCTTTCAGTTGGCGTCATCCATGGCGGCGGCTCTGCATCTCAACGCAAAGCCTTTCAAAGCCAGGGCCGTTCAATTGGCAGATGAGACTCTTTCTTCAGCAGCAAAGCAATCAGTCTTATATGTGGTACGCTATTTCCCTATTATTCCATTACTTACTCCTTCACTTGCTGATCGTGGTGAAGGGACCAAACGAACGCGTCGGAGTAGATCGTGATGGCGGTGGAGGAACTTCTCTCTCTCTCTCGCCCTCTTTGTTCGAACTTTGAGTCTTTTTATCTCTTTAGTCATCCAATAATAGACGTCAATCCTAATAAAGAATGCAAGAAATTAGAGATGTCTACATTGAACATGAATACCAGCGCCATCTTAGTCTCGTCATTTCTTCTATTTCAATCTTATTCCCAACAGAAAATTCTCATTTTTTTATAATAAATAAAAAAGAAATTTTCCTTCTTCAATACAATTTATATTAAAAAAAATTAGAACATCTTAAAAATTATTATCTTGAAATTAGTTTAAATTTAATAATAGAACGTAGTCATATATATATTTAATTCTAAAAAAAAAAAATCATAACATTTAATCCACTTAAAAACGTTTTTTTTATAAAAAAAAAAAAAAAAAAAAAATAGAAACAAATTCTCTGGGGAATCCACATATTTATTCCTTCCAAAATATGACTTGCGTACTTAATTTATATATACTTTATTATCAACGCATGACATTTCATTAATGGGGCCTTGCTTTAACGTATTGAAACCAACTAACAATGTGTTTCCTAACTTTCAGTTGTAAAGTGATGTGGCATCGTCTTACAAGCCATTTGTCGAAGGCGGGGTGTCATGGCCGTTTGATCCCTCTTTTTTAAGCATATTTTTACACGATACGTTTCAAAATCTTCTTTTAACCTGAATTTGATGATCCCGATAACTCCAATTAACTTAAATCGGTTACACTCCTACCAATATAAGAACTATATTCTAAAATTTAATCATTTTAATTAGAATCTACGAAGAAAATTGGATGGATAAATGCATTTTAAAAATAATACTTCCTAATTTTATTAGAAGAGTATCATTCTTAATATAATTTAACATATTAGTTTTTGTCAATTTAATTAGATAATTAATACATAAATTGCTTATTATTTAAAGCAAATTCTAAATATAGCAACCAAACACATTCTTCTACGCATGGCTTACAAATCCGCAGCAATAGAGTGACTTTAAACCAGAGAGAAGAAGATGATGATGAAGAAGATGATGATGAACAAGAGTTTATTCTGAAGAGGTCGCTATCAGAGCACAGATTCTAGACTCCTATGTTGTTTTTCTACTTTTCGATAGAGAACAGTTCTGATTAATGTTTACTATTATTATGCTTCTATTGCTTTGAATTCTCTGTTTTCTGATTTTGCTGTGAAATTGATGTTTCAGACAGTACAGTACAGAGAGATCGTCGGAGAAGAGCGGAAGAATTGAGAAAATCAGATGGAGAACACTCCTTCCTGTCCTCGAAGTGTGAATGTCAATCTCAAAAATCTTCCTCCAATTCATAATCCGTGTACTGGAAAAGCAAATCACTCCTCGATTCCGGTAACATGCGATTGATTGTATTCAATTTTCTTTGAAGTTCGAAGGAATTTGAGTTTTATCTGAATGGTTTTAGGCTAAATTTGAGAAATCGAGGTATATTGGGCGCGTTCCTCAGTTTATGCCACCTAATCACTCGCCGGATTTAAGGCCGAACGAATATGATGGCTTGCCGATGATCCCGGCGTGTTTTGATTCTGCTCGTTCTCCTAATGCGAGGACGACTCCGGAGGAAAGGAAAGAGAATTTCGGGGATTCAGCTCCGAGGTCCAGTGGTCGCAGTCATGACTCGACCAAAGAAGGTACCGGTTTAAACCTAAATCCTTAACTTGATTGCTGCTTAGGATTCGAGGTAGATGAGTCCTGTTTTGTTTCATCATCTTCATGGATCGTTCTTCTCTTTGTGATTTTACTGGTTTTCTTCCAACGATTGATTTCCAAATGCGATTTATTGTTCATCTTACAGCCCACAATCCTTCTCCGACTTCGTCCCTAGCATGCATCCATTAATTTCAAAGTTCAGTTGTGTTTTTGTTTTTGTGTTTGGCTTTTTTCCTTTTTTTATTAAAGAAAACGTTGTCTACAGTAAGCATCTGGTCTCTAACATTTCCAAAACTGACCTCTGCATGAGGATCATTTTTCGAGTTGTGTTTGAACATTATCATTACTTTCCTATTTTTCATTTCTTGTTTTTTTTTCTCCCCATTCTTCTAAGGATGACTTGTTTTAAAAAATGAATGAAGTTGTGCATTCAATATCGACAACATTAAGATTTTTAAATTACTCGATCACAATCTTTAATGGCTGAAAGTTGTGAGAATAGTTTTCTAATCTAAACCCTCAAGGAGTGCCCTGCTCGAGAGAGCTGGTATCTCAAAATCCCACTTCTTATATGTAAATAGGAAACTAAATAATTTCAAATTTTTGTTCTTTCAAACTTGACTTTGGAGCTGAGCTCTCTAGAAAAAACTAACTGAGATATCAGTTAGTCAAACATGCTTATACATTTTTTAAACGAAAAATTGAATACAATTTTGCAACTCAAGTAGAAAAAGCACAAAGCTCTTGCACTTTGATGGCGTACTTGATCTTTGTTAAACTTGGATAAGGAAGATAGCCGACTTCTTATTTACAATTTTTTTGTGCGACTTTCTGCTTTCTCTTACAGCTCGAGTTTATTGCCTTTCTGATTCCCATAAGAATTACCATGGCGTTTCTGAAAAGCATTGTTAATGCACCATTTTGGGTACTGAAAGTTCGCTTAAATGGTGTTAGCTTCACCTTTCCATTTTAGGTACTTCAGTAAAGAAATCGGCGAAGTCCCTTCTGTATGAGATATGCACTACAAATCACTGGAAGCCTCCTCTGTTTGAATGCTGCGAGGAAGAAGGTCCAAGCCACGCAAAAAAGTAAGCTCATTGACTATCATCAACATGAGTTATGAACTTACAAACACTTTATTCTAGTAAATTGTCAGCTCAAAACTTTCAACGCCCTGATATTTCTAAGAGCACTTAACTAAAGATGTAAGTAATCCTTTTTCTGCTTTTGGGTGTGGATTACGCGTTAAAACTCAAGAAATTGCCCTTGGAACAACTACTTTTGAAGCTTTTATAACGTTTTTGTTTTATATCTTCAAAATAAGGGTGTGGAAATCTCTTTAAAACTTAAAGTCCAAAGAAACAAAATCTACTAGCGGTGGGCTTGAGCCGTTACATGAGTAGAATTAGATGTCACCAAAGCCTCCTTTTAGCTTCAACTTTGAGAAATTTCCTCTTGTTTGGATTTGACATATTCATATGGTCATCTGTGTGCAAACATGAGGAAGAATATTGATGGAAATTTAACTTGGATGCAGGTACACATTCAAGGTTATTGTTGAGATGAAGGGAGCTTGTGGAGAAGATTTGGAATGCTATGGAAACCCTCAAACAAGAAAGAAAGTAGCAGCAGAGGATGCGGCAGAAGGAGCAGTATGGTATTTAAAGCATTTGGGTTATGGTATTTAAGAATAATTAAGGGAATTGTAAAGAGCTAGAAATGGGAAATGAGTGATC